AGTAATATGCCTGTTCTTAGAGCTAATTATGTCAGCAACATGTGTTATACAATGAAGCTTTTGAAAAAGAGCTACAAATGAAAGCCAATTTGGAAAACTTCCATTTAGAGGAGTAAGCATACTCTAATTTCAGCATATAAGAATTATTCTGTCCTACATCACAGTTTACTGTTAAATCCATGCAGCTTTTTGAAGCTCCTATTTGTATGTTTTGTGTAAATTTTCCATTATTTTAATCCATGGTGATTTTAGGACTGTAGTTGCTAATCACAATCCTGTAATTTCTTAAGAAAAAAATAACCTTTGTCATGTGAGTATGAATTGCATGACCCAGTGTTACTATCTTATTGGTCATTATCTCTCATTAATCCTAGGAAGAATTAGACGTCTAAAGTAGAGAGAAGGTGGCAAGATGTTTGTGGAGATGCCAAAAATGCTCGCATATCTAATTCCTATGGTAAATTATTAATGAGGAAGGAATTACTTCTAATGTTCTGTGATGATATTAAGTAATGGAGTTGTAAGGAATGGAATATAGAACATCTACACAAAATTACAAACTTCAAATTATGAACATGTGGGTCTGTTTAGGAAAAATAGTAAAATTCCTTTTTTTAAGAAAGATTTAAAAAAAAATCTGAAATATATGGCAACAGAGCACTGAAGGTTAGGAGGAAAAAGGGCAGGTTACCATTGTGTTATATTACCTAGGGGTATAAATTGCTACAGATTAGTCCCTCTCCACAGAATTGGATTTTGCTTTTTTCAGGTTCTTGACTCAAAAAAGACTTAAGATGTTGGTGCTTAATTCTAGCTACATGAATGTTTCACGCTCTGCTCAGATGAGTGTGTGCCCTAGGAAGGTAAATGGGTACTATTTCATCTTGTCAATAAACAGCATGAAAACACTGGTAGGCTTTTTCTCGATATGCTTTTATTTCTGTGGCATCATGAGAGATTTACGTTGATTGTATTAGCAGTCTGTCTCTCTAAGAGTGGCCCTCTGGTGTCTGACCATACCAGTCAGCTCAGATACTGCAAGTTGACAAGGTGGAACAGCTTTGGCAGAAACTGTCCTGCAGTCCTTTCTGCAACTTACTTTCTCAGCCTTGTTTGATAATTTTAGAAGCAATTGCGTTGCAGTTCCTGCGCTAGAAAAATATATTTATTGCTGTATTTAGTGTTGCTGTCTTCATCTTTTCATGTTCTGGGTGAAAGTGGAGTGAGGGAAACTATTCCTTTACTAGGACGCTAATAAACAAGAACAGAGGAAAAACTAAGGGCAAGGTTACCCAGACCTTTTTTGTTTCTATAATAATGTGCATTTTTGTTTTCTTGAGGGTCATCCCACTAGCTTCTGAGTTTTTATTGCTGTAAGCAAGAAGAATTGAAGTTGCGTACAGAGTGCACAGCAGAAACATGGGTTTGGTAGAGTGGCAACAGATACCTGCATCTATTCAGTTTGAAGTACTACGTACTTACAGTAAGCGGGGTTGTGTAAATATGGGGAGGAAGGAATAAATGTGTCTTCTTGAAGTTTGAATTTGGCTTTAAATATTGGAATTGTTGAGGAAGATGATGGCAAAGGAAGGCTTTAGGCTGTAATTTGGGTGCTCTGTTAGCCTGCATATCAATTCTGAACAGGGAGAAAAGATTAATGCAAAGAGCAAAGCCTGTTGTGGAATATTAAAACCCTCAAATTTTAGGAGGAGCCCGACGCTTCTTTTGAAGATTTTCATTTTCTTTGCAGAGGAATGGATAAGGGAATGAACAAATAAGACCTGTTTCCATATTCAGTACCTTAGTGAGACTTTTTTTTCTTTAGAGTAATACTACAAAGGGGACTTCTTGTTGAAGAAATTGCTATCAGTTATTATGAGAGCAGGTCATTCTCTTCTCATTAATGCTTATGTCAGCTAGATTGTTGCTTAGACATGTAACATTATGTTCTGCTCACTCCACTGCGTAACAGCGGGTTCCTAAATGAATACTTCAGCAGTGGCTATTAAAAATTGCTCTTACTTTTTCAGGAGTTGATAAGAGTATTCATACAAGAATTATCAGGGGATCTGATAGTTTCTCACTGTCTGAAAACTGAGCATCTGTGCTATGTCAAAAATGGAAGGTCCCAAACAGTAGGCGTGACTATAGCCCGATGATGGTGCGAGTCTGTCAAGATAAGTATTCTGATAAAAATGGGCTGTGCAAGAGAAGATATTTAAAATGCAAACCTAATGCTGTTTGTAAAATTCCTGTGGCTTTTGGCAGATCCATCATAGTACTTTTTGAAACTGGCAGACGATGAAGAAGTATTTTTTTCTGTTGCTGGGTCTTAATCGGTGCTACCTGTGTCTAGAAGTGTTGCTTTTTTCTGGAAACCACAGCAGTCTGTAGACACAGGCATAGATGCAACTTAAATTTTATGTAAAAGGTTACATTTAGACTGATTGACTGAATGAAATAGGTGAAATTCATTTTCAGTCTGCACTCTGTTGCTATCTACTAGATCTTTCAATGTCTTCCTTTGAGGCATGTCAACATTATTCACAAACAAACTGTAAGCTGATGAAACTGGACTTTTCCTTTGTAATTAATGCACAACCGTACCTATATGACCAGTCAGACACACTCCTTTTTTTTTTTTCTTTGATTTGCTGGTAAGTCCTACCCTTTCCCTAGTTATGCAGTGGTATTTTACAGTCTATTCAATTGTATTCAGTATGTTATTGTCAAGGGCACATTGGCAAGCTGTGACATTATTTTCCTGGGATGGACAGGAAGGCAGATAGATAAGCCAACCTTGTTGGAAGTATATGGTAGTTGCAAAGTAAAAAGCCTTGAACCTTATGATCGTAAAGATTACTTTGTCAGGTCATATTTTTCCTCTTGGAAGTTTGTTCCTGTTATCAGTTTGAAAAGATAAAATGTGAGTTGTTTCTATCCATAACCTCTTTTTTAACCATTCTTATCGTTGTTCATAGTAGCTGAAAGTACAAAAATGTAGACCTATAAAAAATACTTAGTTAACTGCACAGATTACATATAAAAACAGCCTATGTGTGTATATATATAATCACCCATAAGTAAACTTGCACAAGTAAATATGGATAAGTTAACCCTTTCAAACCTCTCTGGTAGAAGATTTGTTAGAATAAGTAAACTATGTATAGAAAAAGAAGTTATTATTTGGCCTTCTGGCTATTTTTTTTTTTTTTTCCATGGCACAGGTATGTGCTCCTTTCTTATACAGGTTATTTTGCCATTTTGGAAAAAAGATAGGAAGGTATGTTTAAGAACAGTGTAGTGTATCCATGAGTTCAGATGGGTTTCTCCGGATTGGATGCCATTAGTTTCTGTAAAATGCAAAACCAAACTCTCAGCTACAAATAAATTGGAGTTATTTCTCAGTAATTCTTGAATAAGACATGTACAGCTTGTCTGGACGAATGCTGTACTAGAGAGCAGTAGGAGGGTGTCTACATGGTGATGTGGTGCTAGAAAAAAACAAAACTTGGGCTATGCTTCTATGCTTTGCAAGTGTTACAGGCACATTGGTGTGAGGGAGGGACGGGACTGGGATACTCCAGGTTCAGGGTCAGCACCACCAGCAGGCTTCTCCCACCGCCCCTGCTTCCAGCATCACCATCTTTTCCACTGTTCTCTTGGCCTTATTCCTACTCCATGTAGGCTGGGTCCATTTTTGCTTTCTTCTTGCCTGGATGCCAGCCTGGGTTTGTCAAGACTGTAAGAGCTAGGACTCTCCCTTGCCCAACTTGCTGCCCTGGAGGAGCTCTTGGATAGAAAGATCCCCAAAGACCTACAATTGGTACCTGTTTAGTTGCTCTGTGGAGGTGGGATATATATACAGGCCTGCTAGTGTGGGTTATATGGACTGATATGCTTCTAAATGCTATTATGATAAATCTCACTGAGCTGGGAAAAGCAAATTTTATTTAGAAGCTGTAAAATGTGTTTAGCAAAGCTTAGGTACTAATAGCAAAAAAACCCATCCCTGACGCTAAGCAGCCCCACCTTCCTTTAACTGATAGATTGGCTCTATGCTTTCAAAGCATCAAGGTGGTTTTTAATTTATTTTTCTTTTTAATTTGAGTACAAGTGTTCAGTGGTGATTAAATGTTTCCAACTTCTGTTACTGAAACAATGGAATCACTGTGAAAAAAACTTAAAAACTTAACAACAGATGTTTATTTTTTAAAACCTACAAAGCTATGTGAAGTCTCTCTTCCTGATACTTTTCATCTGGGAATTGTTATCATTAGTTTCTTGGGGCAAAGATTCAGTAAATTTTTAACTCTGAATACTTTAATTGGTCGTCCTCAATTTGCCGAGCTTATGATGGCCTTGTGATTTATAGACTAATAGACTAAGAAATAATAACACTATCCTCTTAGAAATAGTAATTGATGAATCAGAAAGGTCTTCTCACAGCATAATGGTAGGTATTGTTTTGAATGTAGGTTGGAATAAAGGATTAATCAGCTTATGTATATGTATGGATTTTTTAAAAGGGAAATGGTGGGTGTTTTACCATACTTTTTAAACACTTCTGGTTTGAGGAGCTCTGAAGTTAGGTTTGAGCCTGAAGTCAGTTTTTACAGCTGTAATAAATCCTCCACAAAAATGGCCTGTTACAGCAGAAGTGACAGCAGGCCCTTAATCAAAACAGTGGAGTGGACACAATTATAAAAATTGAATAAATACTTAAAGAACTGTACCAAGTGACAGCTTTTAAAAATATGATGTTTTCTTTAAAACAGAAAACAAACATAAAAGATTGCTGGGCAAATAGAAGATTACAGGGCAAATATCCAAATGTTTAAATACACTGAATGAAAAGCAATTAGAAACAGCTGTGATAGACTGTCCTATTACTGAACTCTACCCTTTAAAAAATTGCTTCCAAACTGATTTTTAAGAACCACCTGTTGACAGAAGGCAGGGCTCCGGCCAGCCTGACAGCCTGTGGTCTGCATGGCGTGATGGGGGAGACTTTGAAAGAGCAGCTGGCCAAGGTGGGTTTCTCTGCCTCTTCAGAGGTTCTGTGACAGTGACCGTGAGCCATTGCCCTCAGGTCTAGGGAAGAAAGAAACTGCTGTTAGGGAAATACATTGCCCTGGATTAAATGTTCCTAAAATTTAGTGCTGTTTGCTGTGATGTTTAAACAATCTGAGGAAGAGCAAGTATGGGCGATTAGGGGATTGGAACATCTCTCCTATGGAGAAAGGCTTAGGGACTTGGGTCTCTTTAGTCTAGAGAAAAGAAGATTGAGGGGGGATCTTATTAATACTTACAAATACTTAATGGGAGGATGCCAGGGGGATGGGAGTAGTCTTTTTTCAGTGGCGCCCAGTGATAGGACGAGGGGTAATGGGCATAAACTTGAACATAGGAAGTTCCATCTTAACATGAGAAGGAACTTCTTTACTTTGAGGGTAGTGGAGCACTGGAACAGGCTGCCCAGAGAGGTGGTGGAGTCTCCCACTCTGGAGACATTCAAAACCCGCCTGGACGCTGTCCTGTGTAACGTGCTGTAGGTGACCCTGCTCTGGCAGAAGGGTTGGACTAGATGATCTCCAGAGGTCCCTTCCAACCCTAACAATTCTGTGAATTCTGTGAACGATGATACCAGGCAAAAGGGAAGTTCTGGCTTCTGTGTTAAGGCAGGGTGTCACCAAATACCATAGACGCTTACCTGCCTGATCAAAGTGCAGCAATTCCTGAGTTAATAGTATTGTATAGTACTGCATAGGCCCAGATTTTGCAGTTTGGTAGTGCGTTGTTAAGCTTTATTTTCTTTATATGGTGTTCCTTAGATTTCATGTTGAGTGGTCAGTGCTGGTTGTTGGACCCGCAGTGTGTGGGGAGAGGTGGTTCATGGTTATGGGTGCCCTTCAATGACTTGAGGGTTTGTGTGGAATTCTTTGCTTTGCTGCAGACATCCTGCATTGACTTAGGCTCAGAAGCATATATGGAAACAAGGCCCATCTGTAACAGCGGGATAGATTAGTTCCCTGCCAGGTGTCCTAACAGTAACAGTCTCTGTAATGTCCAAGTATGAAATCAGAAGTGGGAGAGAAATGTGTTAGCCTTGCCCAGCTTCTAGCGCGTGCATGCCTGTTCGAGATGCCTTACATATACACACCCATTCCCTTTGGACCAGGTTGGTCCTGTTGCAGTTTGTACCCCTGTTTTATCCTCCCTCGGTTTGACCCATGAGTGTTGGTGGTGACTGCAGCCCTTACTAGTCATGACTGCATTTGCAGAACATATAGCAGGAGTTAGGTCAGTTCTGTTATTTTTATGTGGATTCCTCAAAGTTACACAAATGCCAGGCTTGAACTGTAAAGGTATTTCTCCTTTGTTTAACTCTGTGCAAATCAAAATAATTAACACTTCCTACATTTTACTTGTTCTGAAGATCTCATACAAAGATTGTTAGTTTTTTTAAGAAGATCCCTATTAGGTGCTCCTAAGGCAAACAACCACAGAATCATTTCTTGGCTGTATGAGAAGTGAATTGTGATAAAAGAGTTTATCACAGCCGATAGCAGAATGCTGATAAATGGCGCTGTTTTTTCCTGTGTTTGTCTCTGGGTTTGGGTTTCCATCCCGTCTCCTACCCTGTCCAGAGAGAGCATGGACAAGAAACTGTCGTCATTGTAAACAAAACTAGACCTCTTGTGTGACACAGTGTTTCCCCAACCTGTCTCCTCCTTGTTTATACAGGTGCCTGTAGAGGAATGTGGGTATTTTAAGTAAAGCCTCAGACCTGATAAACACAGAAGTGAAGGGGTCATGTTCTAGAAGTGGTGCTCCCCATCAACAGCATTTTAAAGCTGCATCTATAGGCCATTATTTTCCCCTTTGCGTGTATACAGACTTGTAAGTGTCCTTTGACAGTGTTTGGATATCTAGCTGTTAGACTTTTCTTCATGGCTTGGATCGTCCCCTATTTCAAGGCGCTCTCTCCTCTTCACAGGAAGAATTTCACATACCAGTTACACATGTGTTGTTTTTGCAGTCCCCCCCTGCATCTGCGTCTGTATCAGTGTCTCTTCCTGTTTTGTGGATATGCTACTTTATAAGCAAAAACAAATTTGGGAAGATACGACAGTTAGTGTAGATACCGTTATGACAGCAGAAGTCCACGGTTCCAATCCTCCCTGATGCACAGATCCCAGTTTGCCTTTGCTCTTGGCCATAGGGAGGTCATCAGGGACAGCAGGGTGAGAGTTGGGGACTGTCTAAACAGATGCTTTTTGTCAACAAACATCCTTTTCATCCCCTCTTGAAAACATTTTTTTTGGTAGCAATATCAACATCCCTGCTAAGGATAGGAACTCGTGGCGTTTACTCTTGTTAATTTAGTATAGTGAGAGGGATATGATTTGTTAATGCATCTCAAAAACATGATTTGAGGGCAATTCTAGAACTCTGCTTTACTAATCCAAGATACGCAGTGTTACTATACCTTTTTTTTTTATGAAGGCTTATGTCCGTTATTTATAAGAAAATAAGGTGTTGATTGTTTTTCTTGTATGTGTGTTTTGTTTCCTGCTATTTCTATAAAAATGTTAAGATGTGTACTTTATGGGCGTTCAGTTCCTGCAAGTATTCCAAGGCTGAGCAGAGGGGTTGTTCAGGGTTATGTTCAGTTGCATCTGCCTGCTGCCAGTGACTTGAGGCAGATCTCTTCTTGTTGACAGTTCTTGAAAGACTTCATCTTAAAGTGCATTTTCAAGGCTTTATTTTCAGCTATTGCCTTTTAGTTTTTCTGCGCACCTGAAATTCAGAAAGAAATTGGATGTTACTTAGGTAGTAGGGACTTAAATCTTAAAACTCAGGCTTAAATCCTGAACGCAGCATAGCATTCTGTAGGTGAGTGAGTGAAATACATTCATGTTTGAGGGGTGAAAAACAGTTGTGAAATTTTCAAGTGTATTTGCCAGTTCTAAAATGTTTATGTATTTTGGTTGAAATTTACATTTCTAGTGAAGGTCTGATGAGATGGAAATTTTATCAATGTGTGAATAAATAAAAACAATAAATGGAAAGACTTATAAGCAGGAAGAGAGAAAACCTGAAGGAGAAGCTGGAATGGCACTGTCCAAGTTTATGCCAAGGAGGCAGGTTAGTAGGGGAATGTTTTTGAAGAGGTCTTTTCCTCATGGATATATGTTTTTTTTTTTTTTATTCATTATGACTAAAGGACTTTTTAGTGTATCTGAAGAAATTGTTAACTAGACAGGAAAAATACATTGCCCTTTCCACTTAGAAGCGCATTGTCAAGTGGAATGGCATTCATGCAGCCATTTGGGGATCTGAGGTAAAACCAGTACAGAAGATTTATGTTTAAATTTGTTCAGCTTGGGGATGTGTGGTGTTTATTCTCCCTAGGGGCAGCTGATCTGGAGGCAAGGTATTATAGAAAGCCACCTCTAGTTTTTGTGAAGACAGCTTCAGCTTTGTGTCTAGGTTTTGATTATTATTTTTAATTTTTTTATTATTTTTTTATTAATGTTGTTTTGGACAGCCAAAGTCTCTTTGGAAAGCCTGCACTGTGTGGAATGTGTAGTCTCCCTGCTGAAATGAAAACTCGGAGGGGGTAACTGAATACTCCCTGCTGTCAGTGCATTGCCAGCCTGAAGAAAAAACAAACAGGCTTGCTGAGAACAATGAACATTCCTTGAAACCCCAGCAGACAGATTTTTTGCCTTTTTTTTTTTTTTTTTTTTTAAGACAAAAATAAAGCCCCTGTTGAGGTCTTCAGGTCCAGGTGGCAGGGCCCAGGGGCTTCTCACCCCTTGACATTCAGTTGGTGTCTTACTCGGGGCATAATAAGGGCTGCGACTGGTTGGTATCTACATTTTGGAGTTCAAAATGTCTCCCCCTACAAGTAATTTTCTCCCCACCCCACCCCCACCCCCCTTTAACCTCTGTTTGACCTTCTCTGTATAATTCTAGTGATTCAACTCTGAATTTCATTAACATTTTCGTGCTGCTTTTCAAACCTACTGGGCTACAGATCTCCAAACGCAGTTTATTTAGTAGTAACCCAGAAATGCATCTGAACACTTGAAAGACTTGTGATTGCCTGTTAGGAGGCTTGAGATTCATGAGTCCCAGGCTGCCTGTTCTCTTGTTCAGCTTTGCCTGACTTCAGGGTCCCTTGTATGGCAGCCACTCTGTCCTTGGCATCCGTGAACTTAGATCTTTCCTTGCATATAAGTGATTTCCACTGCTGCTCCCTTGTTTTCAACTTTACTGAAGATTTGCAGTGATAATTTAGTATTCTGGTAAATTCTTGATGTTCAGACGATACACAAACAGGTTAGAAGCAGGTCATAGCTTGAGAACTAGATATATTGGGATGTAAAAAATTGCTCTGTCTTTAATTATCTGTGTTTTTACTAAGATAATTTCTGGAAATTAAATTGCTTCGTTAGCATTAATAATGAGCATTTTAGAATGGGGTATAAGACAAAGCATTTTATATGCCTTTTCTTTTTTTGGTTTAGGTTTACATGTCTGAATATTTTTGAGAGCACTTACCCTAAACTTACATAAAGAGAGCTTTTATTGTTTCTGCAGTGAGATTGGTGGGGGTGCATGAGATCATCCTAATGTACTTTCATCAAGAGATATTGCTTTATTTTATTAGGCTATTTAATTTATTCTTTGGTTGCTGGAGTGTCCCTAAAACCTGTACTGTGAGCTTCAGAATGTATGAAGCTAGGTTTCCTCTGGCTTTATCTCGTCGTTGATTGACTTTGGTGCCTCAGAGCATGGCAGTTCTTTATGAAGCTTTCTGCAGTTGGGGCAATTACATGGATTTTTTCTTTGTAGGTTCACTGGCATTTAATAATGTGGAACTCAGATACTGTAGTCAAGGCACAATATAATGGAGACATAAATGAAACTCTTTGCTTTGAAGTCAAAGTATCAAATCTACAAGATGAGGTGGGATATGGATTGTGAGCAAGTGAGGGAGGAATAAAATTAAACGTATAGATCAGGAGCCTAAGTGACTGAGAAGCTGGAGGCTGCGTCGACAGCAAAGGAGATGGGAAAAAACTGAGAAAGTCGAGGGCCTGAATTGCAAAGTGTTTGACACCTACAGCTATATTTGAAATCGGTTCAAACTGTTGGTACTTGCTAGTCTGGCTGATCGAGCTTTTGGGATTTCTTTTAAATTTTAAAAATGGGTAGCTTGTAATAGGTTTGTTTCCTTCATTGGCATGGGAATTTCCAAAAGCTGACTCTGTAATTTGTCTTGTGTGTGCTTTGCTGTATGTTATGAATAGTTGTGTAAAAATTCAGTGCATGCAAGAGATGCCTGTGGCAGCAAAATAATCTTCCAGTGAATTTCCTTTAGTATTGCTGTATTCTTCAGCAGTGTGACATGTTGTTTTTCTTCCTTGTACCTCAGATCATCATCTCTTCTTTTAGCCGGAGCTGTTAGTTAGCTGTATGGATCGTAAATTCTCAGATATTTTCCTAAATGTTATGTGCCTGATGAAAATCACTTTATTTTCCAGACCAGCTTGTTACGCAATATTTTGGGGTTTCATAGCATGCCAGATTTTTGGAGTTGACTCTGTGGTTAATATTATTGACTATATGGTTAATATTATTGGTTCTCTTCTGTAGAGAACCAGATTTTAACATGCCTGCCCAAAGCTCTATTTGCAAGTCTGATTATCTGTGCTGTATTGAACGGAGCTCAAGATCACAGAAGCTTTTGAATCCCGAATTTCCATCAAGCTTTCTGGTTTTCTCAGGTTTCTCCCCTTCCATTTCTTTACTGTTCTATTCGTCTCCACTACATCGTTACCCTCTTGATGGCGTTTTTAAATGTATTTTTAAAAGTCATTTTAACTACTTAATTACTGTAGTAATTATTGTATGAAGCCAATATTGAAAGCTCGTTAACTTCTTTTAAAGGTGTCACTATGCAACCTGAATAATTCTACCATTTGATCTGCTTTTTCTTCAGATTGAAGATGGGAGCAAAGCTGCAGCTGTGGACAAGTTACTGGCTGGGGATGAAATTGTTGGCATCAACGATGTGGGCCTCTCTGGTTTCCGACAAGAAGCAATCTGCCTGGTGAAAGGTTCACACAAGACGCTGAAGCTTGTAGTAAAAAGGTAAGCTTGTGTTGTTCAGCTGGCGAACTAAATGCGTTCCAGTCTGTAAGCTACTGGGCAACTAAATTTGCCAACACTTGGCAAGATGACGATGTTCATTCAGTGTTATTAATGCGCGTATTGTGCGGTGTTACCTCCTTCTTGAACACAGACTCTTTATGGATGAAGACGTGGGGAGAGGTAGCCTATTGATCAGAGCAAAAACTGAGGCAATACATTCGATACTGTTGTGGTGTGATCAGTCGGGACTCTGTTCTGTCCTCCTGAAGTGCAGGGCCCGAAGCATCTTGTCCACCCTGCCCTGCCTACCCACCTTCGGTGTGCAGACACGGGGAATGCTTTTTAGCACGTTTGCTGTGCAGGTCAGTTGGGCTGTGAGGAGCAGGTTACATGGGAAGGTTTTGAGAAAATGTTTTCCCGCTTTTTGAGAATATGTTTTCCCACTTTTTGAGAATATTTGAGGTCTCAAGCATTTCTCATGTGGTTTGGGTAAAGAGTACTTTCAGTTAGTTATTAGTGAAGAGGAAAAACTAAATCGGTTTATCAAAACAGAACATGGTGTGGAAACTATTTGTTTTGTCATTTTGACTTATGACTTTCAAGTTCACGCTTTTTTTACTAAATTTAATCAAAAATAAGTTTCATAAAATAACTTCGACGAAAGTGAAAAGATCTTAAAGTAGGTTAAATCTTGTAACTTCTGAAAAAATTCAAACGAGGAAACAGTCTTTCTCAGTAATTTCCTACTCTGACAAATCAGAACATTAAAATTAATTACTTTTATATTTATTTATTATTATTTATTATTACTTTTGCTGAATTATACCAACCAGTCTTTCATGTGACAATTTTGGGTGTCTTTGTTAAAAAAGAGTTTTGTTACAACACTGAAAACACTGAGAATTGGGGTTTGACAGGCATGACGATCCAGTCTGTAAATATAACCACCATTTGAGGCTGTCTTAACTGAGGACTGTCTTTTGTGAAATAGCACTGATAGGTAGGTAAGAGAGGTACAAAATCATGCTTTTATGTTTATATCCTCACCAGTAGCGGCTTCCAGAAGCTCTTCCAAAATTTTTGTAGCACTAAAGCTAATAAATGCAAAATAAAATGCTTTTACAACTATTTCAAGTCTTGTTGATGTTCATCAGTTTCAATAGTTACTGGCTATTCCAGTAAAAGCACTTTTGTTAGCAGAGGTTACATCAGCTGTTTCTGTCACAGAAAGGAAGAACTTCAGGGTTGAAAAGTTTTATAGATGTTGAAGAATCTGCCAAGACAGCAAGTCTTAATTACTGCGAAAAGCTTCAGACCAAGTGGAAAGGTTCCCTCGTTCTTGGTGCTTTTCAGTTTTATGACAGTGGGTTGCTCGGAATCTGTGAATTCTGGTCTATCTTTGGAAATGGCAGAAAGGTTGATGCTGAAATACCCTCGTAAGAGACACAGTTATGCCATTCCTGTAATTCACAAGTCCTTCACTCCATGCATGTGATTTTCATACAGCTAATCAAGCACTGGTTTGCTGCTGGGGATTTGTGGTGATTCTTCGCAGGCAACAGAGCCCCATTGCTATGCACGCCTATGTGCAGTTTAGTGCAAAGCTGATGGATTTTCATCAGTCCTTTCTCATCCCTCCTCTTTTTCCTTCCCTAGCACATGTGCAATGGGCAAAAGCAACCTTGCTGTTCTAGCCAAGAGGCTGAAATAGTTGCTGTTGTTAGGGAAAATATTTTTTGTCTTAAATTCATGAAGATTTCCATAGCTCCCCAAAGATGCAAGAGCCTTTTGGGTCATTGACAGCCTGCATAATATTAGATAAAATTTTATAAAACTTACTGAATGAAATTAGCTAGGGGTTTTGTCTGTGTTTTTTCAACTTTGCTCTTTCTCTTGGAAAGTTGCCTTAGGACATCAGTCCTTTGACGGTCAGAAACCTTTTAACACCCAGTCTCATTCTATTCTTGGGCAACTTGTTCTCATGCACTGCTGTCTCTGTGCTGAAATAGCTTTTCTTTTCCTGTTGGAAGTTCAAATGATGCAGGTTTTTATAAAAGCCTTGTTGCATGCTTTCTTCCAGAAGTTATGGTTTGAACAACAGTATTGTTTTGTTCTGTTTGCCCTAGATCTTAGGCAGAATTTTTATGAGTGCTTTAAACAGTCCTGTCTTTAAGCAAACCAGTTGTTCAGTATTTGTATGAGCGCTCCTGCAGGTCTGGATTGAATTGGATCAGGGAACTGATCTGACTGCAAAATTACTTGGGGAAGTAGGTTTTCAGCTGGATAGGACCACCCCTTTCAGAGGCAGTCTGCACTTTAATTAATTACAGCAATCTTGAAATGGCTGCCTTAACGTTTTTAGACTATTTCAATCTTCTTTAGATCCACCCTTGCTGTTCTCAGGGGAGACTGGGGATAGTCCCACAATTCCGTTTCATTGAGTTACATATAAGATGAAGTATTGATCTGCAAGTCATCTTAGCATCTTTTTGTCTGCTTGCCCCATGTCCTTCGTCTAGCACTGTGAGGCTTCTCTATAGTGTTGATTTAACATTTTATTCCCTGTGGGTGCCAGTGTGATAATCTGAAGCACAAAATAGATGAATGGTTTGAAGTTCAGGAACCCAGTCCTGATGGTTAGAAGAATCTTTGTTTTAATCATGTTTGTCCTCTCTATCTGTGAGAGTTAGCTTGGGCAGCCAAGATCTAGATTTTGTGTTGAAAACTTTTTTTCCTAGGGTTGTTTGTGGTATCTATTTCTAGACTGATCCAGAAGCGAAAAGCAAACTCCTTAAAAAATATCATGATGGGGGAAAATTACTTTTTAAACAAAATTCTTCTGGTAAGTAGAGAACTTCCTTCCTATTATTGTCAGTAGAATTAATCCAGAAAATACAGGTTTGTCACTGCTGAGAAGTGTGTCCATGTGAAATTCCTCCATATGGGTCATTCCTTCATGCGGTAATGACACATCCTGATCTTAAATTAATCTGTTTCCGTACCTGGGAAGCAGTAGGGCATGCTATTTTTGGTTTAGAAGTCTAATGTACCAACAGCCAAGACCAAGTGAAAAAGTATTGCCATAGTGAGTAATACATTTCATTCACAATAATTAACTTGTGACTGTGGCAAAAGTTTCTCAAGGGGCTGGTGCTGTTTGGCAGTAGTAGCTGTCTTCCACAAAATTATTTTTACCTACTATTTTTAAAGAATCTGATACTTGACTTGCATAGTGAAAATAACACTGGTTTCTAATAAAAGTGCCTGCAGTACCAAATACTCAACATAAATGTGCTGGCCATCAGCATACATGCGTTGCTGTATTTTTTGGAAACATCGCATAGTTGTGGTTTAAACCAAATCAGGATTGTGCAACTGGCTCAACAACAAACAGGATGTTTAAGCAGCTCACATATATTGATGGTTGAACAAGTGCAGTGTACTTTTGGTCTTGGATTAAAAGAGGACTCAGGAGGCTTCATGTTGTTTTCTCAAGTGGATTTGTCAAAACAATGCATCTTAATTACGTGCTAGTTCTTTAGTGTAGTACTGAGTCATTTCTTGAGCAGATTCCTATCTTAGGAAAGTGTACTTGGGACACTTACAGGAATTGTATGTGAATTTCTCTTGTTTTGGAAAAGATGTGTGCATGTCTATGTATACACATTTAAAATTGCTCTGAGTGTTGATACTTGAGATGGTTACCATATTCTGTGTAGTTGAACCGTTCTCCATACACTTTTAACTTAAATTACCTTCTAGTTATTAAATATAATTTCCATTCCTTTGCACATGCTGAACATAAGTGTGTACCACAAATCCATGAAAATCTGGAATAATTTTTCACTGTGAATTCATGAGACACATTAAACTGTTAAAAATTGATGCATAGGTGACACTTCCATTTGCGATTTGTTAATGTTAAAGGGAGGAGGTGATTATATGGCCCTTGGGAGCCACCCTAAGAAGTTGTGTGGGGTTGTCCTGTTGGCTGCTTGAATCATCTGTTAGTGACAGTGGAAACAGGTGGACAAAGGAGGGAGTAGCCATGGGTGACTTTTCGTCAGGCTCTGCTGGCGACGGGAAGCTGGACTTTCAGTTCAACTTGACCAGCTCTGCAGGTACTGCCAATGCCTGAGAACCAGCCTCAAAGTTCTGGAGTAGTTCTGGCCACATTGCACACACACATGAGCAGTTGTGTTTTCTTTTACTTTATGTAGTATTTCGTTTTGGTGCCTTTATGTAGCGAAAGTGCAAGCTGTTTTTGCAATGCTGAGGAGTCCCTCGGAGAGGGAAAGGGAGAGAGCAAACATACTTGCCATCAGAAACATAGTCTGAATGCTGAAATTTGCTGTGCTAAATCCGAATAACGGAAGCGAATGTCATGATACATGAACTATAAGCACCTAGATGTGGAAAGTTAGGGTAATCTTTATTTGCATGGCACTTCATGAAGAGACACATCCATTTAATTGAAGCACAGCAGAAGAAGGGTTTTTAATGAATGTCCCAAGGGTTCTGAGATCGTACAGTATCATTTCAGAACCTGAGACCTGGGCAGAAGTCTGCGAATAAAAATCTGACAGTCATTTACAGCATTCAGGTGGGAGGTCACTGAAATTTTGTCATGTTCTGAGCAGAAACACCCTCAACACCCACAGTGACCTTGCCATAGTGGGGTTTGTGTAGCTTACCAGGGGGATCTAGTCTTACCTGTTTATCACTCGTGGAGCAGCTAGCTGTGTGCTTCATAGCTCCTTTTGGCTGCAGGAGTACTCTGTGAAACCTGGCAATATCAATTTGTGAGATGACTTGGGGGGATGAGGGATTTATGTTTTCTGTACAATTACAAGATACAGATTGAGGACTGTGCATTTTGCCTGTTACGTGTGTTGGCTACTTGATAGTTCTGGGTTTATAGATATCAAACCAGTATAGGAAACAAAAGTAGAAAAATACATGTAGTTTTGCAGATTTTAAGCAAGTATTGTAGTTATTTA